TCACGTGCAAGAATGGTCGAAAATAAGGCCTGATCAATGGTTTTATTCGAAATTATCCAGCTTTGAGACCAGAGAATGAGAGAAAAACTGAAAAAGAACGTACGATTTCTCCCCCTTTTTTCCTTTTTAAGATTGAAACTCTTTCCTTTTTCTCTTTTCTCTCTCTTCTTTCTTTTTTATTCTTTTATTTTTCCTTGTGTCTGAATAAGTTGAACTCCATTTATTTATGTAAAACTGGTCTGAAGAGATGGACCTTTGATATCCACCGGATTTTTAAGTTCTATATTTATTATTATTATTAATATATATATATATATATATATATATATATATATATATATATATATATATATATATATATATTAATAAATATACATATACCTCCGTTTGCGGTGTGACTTAAGTTTCGTCACGTGACTGATGAGATGAAAAACAAGATGAAGAACTTCAACTTCCGTTCCTGAAAGGTGAAGTTTCTTCTTCCGCTTGGTTTTGTAAAACTGATCCAGCATATAAAAAGGCCTCATAAACTTTTCGCGGCGAAGATGCCTACGATCAAAGTGTAGTATCTGTTCCCGTAGCAGACTGTCACATTTTCAGCCAGTCATCATCAGCCGCAACTTCAGGCCAGCCAGCCAGCCAGCCATCTGCTGCACGCCTCCAGCATCAGCCAGTCATCTTCGCCAGCAGCAACGGTATGCGATAAACTGTCTTTTTCAGAACACTTGTCAGCGACTACAAAATTGTCCTTTTCCGAACAACATTTCTTAATGGCTACAAACATTTCCTTTTCAGGATAAACCTTTTCACACCACCTACATCTGCATTGTCAACTTATTTTTGTCAATATTTTTCTTTAACGAAAACAAACTTGTCGATATATTTTTTTTACTCAAGTCTTCGTTTTGTTTGCTGTTGTGGTTTTGATCCTCACAGGGTGCCTCATACTTTGGGCCTTATGCCACATCTAAGGTATGCATAGAAATCACTATAGCGTGTGTACAGTTAGATCGAATATGAATTCAGAAATTATAATCATTTATTACTTATCTCGATTTGAGGATGTGCGGGTGGTGTAATGAATCACTGCTTGGAATAAGTAATCGGAGATTCGAGAACGAATTTCACTCAGGCCCTTTACATCCACTTACGCACAAATACCGTTGGGTAAGGTATAAATCCATCCTTTCACCTCCCTAGAATAGCTGCTTTGACTGGAGCATATGGCCTTGGTTGGCAATCAGTTTACTGCAGAAAGAAACTGCAGCTTACTGCAGGAAATCGGTTGCTTAATAGGTGATGAATCGAAAGCAACATGATCGACAAAGGATGTATAAAATATGGCACTTGATTGACTAACGATGCTCCATTCCATTCAAAATATTATTTTGAAGAAATTCCATGAAACTAGAAAATGTTTATAGTGTGGCTTTCTGTTGTGGTAGGATCCACCTAATTTGCATAGTGGAGTACCGACCATATAAATATGGTTGGTACCGGGAAGAGAGGGAGGAATCAAGAGATTCAACCAGAGACTCTGCCTGACTGCAACTCAGTCAACACATTCTCCAGGAACGGTCTTACCAGGAATATACAAAAGACTATATGTAAATATTGTGTACCCTTTCTTGTTTCAATACATTTTGTTCTAAGTACATTTTGTGTTGCATTATTATTCCATGCATTAGTCAACTTTCAACACTTTCCGACAGAGAACAATTCATTTAGAATACAAATAAATTTAGAATTATTTAGACTATTTATTTTCAGACTATTGTCCTCATCGACCTTGTTTTATCACAACGATGTGTTCTCTGGCCTTCTTCAGATATATATCGATCTAGGTAACCTTTAGAGTAGAGCGAAAATCAGTCTAAGCTTCATTGTTAATGTCTAGGGATATTACATCTAGTTCTTATTTTATTTAGCACTGAGTTCAAGTACACGCTGCCTGACACAGGGATTGAACTCACAATCACTGTCTTCAAATTCACATACCAACGATTTTACCGACTAGGATATTGTTCCGTACGACAATTTGCTGGAGTAAACTTAAAAATAAATCTAACTTTCACTGCTGATTAGGCTTCCACTGCAACTGCTGCTGATGCTGTTGGCTTTCATGCACTGACTGCTGCTGCGGTTGAAGACTCAGCTGTCTTTCTTTCTTTCTTAAGCAACTCCTATATTGTTTTTTTTTTATGCTAGATCTCCTAAGGAGCGCATATATCCTGATTCTTTCAAACGTCTAATTCTCCACTGTTCTTTTCTGTCCAGCTTTTCACTTCATTCCACAGAGGCTGATAATCACCGCTTTCCCTCCACACATGATCAGCTATGCCTGATTTCATAAATAAAATATTAAGAAACAAGAAAATCCTTTTGCAGCGAAGAAAAGAGTTCTGGAAATGCTATATAATATCAATTTTCCCACATAGCATTAAAAGCTTGACAATTTCCTCGCAAATGAAGAGAACACGTGAGGCAACAGAGATGTGCTTTTATAAAATCATTCTGAGAATAGCATAGACTAAACATGTGGCCAACGAGGAAGTTTTAAGGAAAATGGAAGCAAAAAGGACACTTATACTTTGAATCAGAAAGATGGAGGTAAATTTTAGAATAGACAACGAGAAAATAAATATTTGACGATTTGATACAGTGGGATAAGAAGGAGTGACGCGGTAGATTTTGCGCAGAGGCCACAGTCTGAAGAGACACGGTACATAAAGAAAGTTAGCGTACATTGTGTGGGGAGATACCTTAATGCATATTGCTAGCTTGAATGCTCAACGGAGTTCCGTGGAAAATCGTTGAAAATCTGGTGTCCGTAAATGCAGACCCCATAATCTTATATATTTAAAAAACACTTTTTTTTAAGTACATTTACTACTTTAATTCGCTCGTTTCACTTTTTCTTTTATCCTTTCTTTCTGCCACACTATTACTTTATCTTTCTCTCTTCCCCTCTATCTTGTTCTCTCTCACTCTTTTAACATCATTTTTCTCTCTTTCTCTCTTTCTTTTAATTTTTCTTTTTCTTTCTTTCTTTCTTTTCAATTTTTCTTTCTTTTTCTCTCTCTGTATCTTTTTTTCCTTTTTCTTGATTTATATTATGTTTTTTTTTCTTTTTATCTCGAACTTTTTTTTCTGTCTTTTTCCATTTCTTTTCTTTTGATTTCCGTTTTTTTGTTTTAGTCTCATTCACTTTTCCACTTTCTATCTCGCATTTTGTAATTTTTCTTTCTCCCTATATACCTTTTTTCTTTCTCTCTCTTTTTAAATTCTCTTTCTCTTTTTTTCTTCCATTCGCACTTTTCTATAACTTTCCCTCTCTCTTCCTCTTTTTCTTCTCTCTCTCTCTCTCCGTTTCTCTCACACTCTTTTTCAATCATTTCCTTCGTTTTCCTCTCCCGTACATTTTCTTACTCTTACTCTCTTTTTTTTTTCCTTTTAATCTCTCATATTTTTCTTTCTCTTTCTCTCCTTTTCCTACTATTTCTTCCTATCTACCTCTTTCTTTCTCTCTCTTTTTACTATCTCTTTCTCTTTTTCTGTCACTCGCATTTTTCTATAACTTTCCCGCTCTTTTTCTTCTTTTTTCATTCTCTCCCCATTTCTCTCACACTCTTTTTCAATCTTTCTTCATTTTCGTCTCTCGTACATTTTCTTATTCTTTCTCTCTTCCCCCGTCTCTGTCTCTGATTTTTATTCTTTCTCTTTTTCTCTCTTTCCCACTATTCCTCCCTTTCTGTCTTTCGCGAATTTTATTTCTTTTTATCGCTCTTTCTTCTTCATTTTTCTCTATTCTTATTGCATTTTTATTCTTTTTTCTTTCTCTTTCTCTTGTACTTTTTTTTTACTCTGTTTCTCTTCTCATTTCTCTCTTTCACTATCATTTTCTTTTTCTCATTTTTTTCTTTCCCTTTAAGAATATCCATTTATTTTTTTTGTATTTTTTCTTCTCTCGTTCATTTTATTTTACATCTCTCCCTTGCTTTCACTTTCATCTTTCACTCGTTTTCTCACTCTTTCTCTCTCTCGCTCTTTCGCCCTCTCTCTCTCTTCTACTCCCTCTCTCTTTCCCTCTCTCTCTTTCGCTCTCTCTCTCTCTCTCTATCTGTCTTCTACTTTGTTTTGTGATGTCGTATTTGTACGTCGTTGAAAAATCACTTCAAGAAAAGTGATAGATTTTGCTTAAATGAGCTTTTATTGTTTTGTATCGACCATAAATCGATGTTTAATGATTTCGATTACTTAGCGGTTCGCGACATGTGTCATGGGACAGAACTGTTACACGTGGACGGTATATAATACTTTTTCTTTTTTTTTACTTTCTCTCTTTTTTTTTTACTCTTTTTTTTCCTGCTATATTTCTTTTCTTCTATCATTCTCTTATGCTATCTTTCACTCTCGCAAATTTCTTTTCTCTTTCTGTCTCGTTATTTTTCTTTCTTTCTCTCACTTACATTTTTTTTACTATTACTATCGCAATATTTCTTAATTTTAGAATGATCAGTCACTTACAGAGTAACTACATAAAACTGTTCACCCCGTAGAATTTTAATTAACACTAGTCCAACCATATTGTAAAAGTGACTGCTATTATGAAACTGATACTTTGCTAATTCCATATTATTAATATTTTTCACAATGTGTGTCTATAAATCTATTTGTCGATTATTATTGTTAGGCTCTGTCCTTTACCGGAATTAATATCTTCAACTTCCGGCTATCTCATCATTTTCGAAAGGCCCACCAATTGTCGTAAGAAAAGCGCAGTCGCTTTTTCCTGGGATAACTTTAGGAAAGCAAAACATTACAGAGATATGCAAGCACTCAGATATATCCCAAGAACATGTTTTACTTGTTTTTTTATTGAAACATTTTGGGGTCGATATGTTGTTTCCACCCAACTTACGTCGAAATTCGGAATAGATAAACAGATTCAGGTGAATATTTAACTCGCATCCTGTATCACAAGACTTCGCAACGATCACAACATCCAGGTGCCGGAAGTGACCATAATCTGCTGGAGTTTTTGCCTTCATTTTGGCCAATGCCGCGTCACATTGCTCATTACATGACTGTCGGACAATCTTATAGATAGATAGATAGATAGATAGATAGATAGATAGGAACCGACTGATATATAGATTATCTTTGAATAGAATATAAGTGACATATAGCTAGCGAGATAGATAGATATGAACAGGCCGATACAGTTTGTCTTTGTATAAAATGAGATAGATAGATAGATAGATAGATAGGAGTCGACTGATATATCGATTATCTTTCAATAGAATATGAGTGATAGATAGATAGATAGATAGGTAGATAGATATGAACCGGCCGATACATAGAATGTCTTTGTATAAAACGAGATAGATAGATTATGCGGACCTATTACGCACGAACATACATACATACATACATACAAACATACAAATCACATTTACAATGCCAAGCATTCATTGGTTAATAAAGCACCACTACATATTAAAGGCAATTTACAAATCGCAGTAATGCGACAATTTTGTAATCACTCTATTTTTAAGTAGTCAATTTTGTGCAATTTGGGGAGAAGCGGATCACAGAAGCTTTAAGTCTCCCCAACGCTCGCTCCATGATTGGTCGATGCCAACCAATCAGATCCTTTGCACGTGAAGAATATTTTTCCCGCGCAACGATTTGGAGCCCATAGACACTTATTTAAGCCAAGAATTTTCTAATCTCAATTAGTGAGAACTCAACTACCAAACAAATCTACGACAGTTGAAACCATGCGCCAACCTTCTCACTCACACACACTACTCACATGCTGAATATAACGTGTATACACTCACAAAAATCTCTTCTTACACAACAAAATCTTTCAAGAACAATCATTGCAAGGAACGATCTGAACTCTAAAATAACAGTTAAAGAGAGGCAACTCTTGGTTAATTCAAACCTTTTTACTTAAATGCATGCTTTCTTTCACATCGTTGTTTGATATTGTACATCTTGTTAAAATACATATTTTATGTGTAACAATGTCTTTTCTATCCTTTTTTGTGAGTGCCTTGTTTTCTAATCAAAAGTTAATTTAATGTGGTGAAGTCCGCCACAAGATAGATAGATAGATAGATAGATAGATAGATAGATAGATAGATAGATAGATTTACGACAGGGCGGCTCTAAAGTGTACCCCAAAAGGTTAAAAGTTTATCGCTAGGCATAACTCTGCTCTATGTACCTTTGAAATTTCCCCTGTAGCGGGCAGGCAAATATAAAAAGAGAGTCATATAATAAATTTGGCATAAAATGGGATAAGATGACTCTTGTAGAACATTGAATGATGATTGAGGTTACACAAGCATTCATTTACGAAGCTTACTTTGTAAATATTACTGTTTATTCGGCGCCCACCTAGACAGATGGACAGAGATAGACGGCATTTACTGGGAAAATAATACTGTATAGATTTTTTGCTCATAGCTAATCTAAAGAAGAAATAGATTCATGCCTTTCTGAAGAACACTAACCCAATATTTAAACGCAAAACCAGGATTCAACTTCATCTGAAACCAGAATTTGACCCAGGGTCAGCATTCTGATACTCTATCCGTACACCCAGCTGCTTCTATGTCCCTTGCACCTTCAAGACATGGATGGTTATAGCTCTCTACGACTTCCTGTCCTTATTAGCTCTTAGTAATTTTTTCGCTATTACTCCTTATACCTCTTATGGCAACCATATGGTTATGAGGGTAATATATATATATATATATATATATATATATATATATATATATATATATATATATATATATATATATATATATATATATGTATAAATTATTAAGTCAACACTTAGAGTCGACAGGCTGTTTCAGGCTAGAAGCAATCGTCGGGCCTTACGATTGCATCTAGCATGAAACAGCCTGTCTCATCTAAGTGTTGACTTCAATGTTCACTTTTATATTTACACACGCTCTATCTCTGATATCTGATACTGAGCACGTTATCCCATAAATTTAGCGCACCTTAAGAGTATATTTCTTCATATATATATATATATATATATATATATATATATATATATATATATATATATATAAATTATTTAACAAGATGTTTCTTGCTTGATTTTCGATCAGATGTTCAAGTTAAACCTTCAATAATAGGATTGCAAACAGAAATTATATTTCCACAGCAACCATTAATGGTACTAAATTAATTTCATTCTTTCACTAAAGCCGAAGCAGTTTCCATGGTAACTAATACTAAGATAATAGCCAATTTTGTTGGTGAGTCGTAATGGGAACAACGGTAGAAATCTATGGATATTTGTTAGTGGCCAATATACAGATGATGGATTTTGTAGTCATTTATGGCGACAAATAAAGCTCTGTAAATCTGCTTAATTTTCTATTGCTATAAGTAGAAATTAGTTTACCGACGTTAAGTTTGCATCCGTATCATCATTCGTAGAATTCATTATCATTTAGCTATTAAATCTTCCAACGCTAATCCCTATTCTATAATCTTTAACGTGTCCACCATTTTAACCCGTTAAGCAATTACTTCATGAACTGAACTGTAATTAAAATTATTGATTACAATAATAGCTAAACTTAATTCATAAATCTATTCGCTGTAACTCGATAAACTGAAAAATCATTTACCTGTTTAGTGAGATAGTTCTTTAGGGATAGTTCCCCAAAATAAATTATGTAATAAATTAATCAAAGCCTAGTGAATAATAGAGTGTTTACAAAAATGATCATTTTATATAGATCTGACTCTACAGATTATTTTATGTAGCCATAAAAGACTAAGATTCAAATTTTATGTAGCCATGTAAAGACTATATAAAATACAAATTTTATATAGACATCTAAAGACTATCTGAAACACAAATTTTATGTACCCATCCAAAGACTATCTAAAATACAAATTTTATGTACCCATCCAAAGACTATATAAAATACAAATTTTATGTAGTCATCTAAAGACTATATAAAATACAAATTTTATGAAGACATCTAAAGACTATCTGAAACACAAATTTTATGTAGCCATCTCAAGACTATCTATAACACAAATTTCATGTAGACATCTAAAGACTATCTAAAAGACAAATTTTATATAGTCATATATAGACTATACTATATTAGTAATATCATTAAAAAGCGGTGTCTATCGAAACTGATAGATATTTACAGATATTTTAGTCCTCGGCTTTTACAGATCCTCACTTCTATACATATTTACTGTAAACATTTAAAAACTAGTTATGATTTCACTACATTATTGATATTATTGTTATACATTATGGTAATTATAATGAATGTTGCCTTACCAATGCTAAAGAAAGTATCAAGGAACAGGAAAATATCGTTAGAAACAAAAAAATGTACTCAACTGTTATGTAATATTGATCATCCTATATGGTAGTGAATACTGGACATTCTCATCACGGATGAAGAAAAGACCTGAAGAAACAGAAATGTGGTACAACAGAAGGATGCTGAGGACACCACTGACTGAACAAATGACCAACGACGATGTTTTAGAGAAAATGGAAACAAAAAGGACATTTATACTTAACATCAGAAAGACACAGGTGAAATTTCTAGATTACATAATGTGGAAAGAGTGTTTGAAAAATCTGACACTCACATGACATACTGAAGACAAAAGGTAGGGGAAAAAAACAGCGCGTAACCTACCTATTGGGCTTGTGTAATGCATGGCAGAACAGGGTTTTTGAGCAAAAAGACCAAATTTACTAAGAGCAAGGGGGGGCATGAAATGGTGAAGAGACATGATCGACAATGTCCATAGATTTATCGCTTGAAACAGAACCCAGGAATGGGTGACTTTCACTTATCGATAATAATGCTTTAAAAATACGAGTTAAAAGGATACCAATCACTATCAGTGGTAAACTTAGAATCATCGAAAAATACCATATAAAAACGTTCTTCTTCGTGATATTTCCTTTCAGGACGTAGGCGATCATGGGTCCCCACAACCCCCTGTCTATTGTAGCGCATAGTACATTTTTGTTTATCTATTATCCCACCTAGTCCCTGTTCTGTTATTTATTTAAGTATCTTATTCACTGATTCTCTCTGACCATCTTGCTTTCAGTATATTCTGTAAGTGTCAAATTCTTCAAACACTCTTTCATTTATTTCTATCTTCCGTTTCTATCAAAGTTTTCGTGTTTCTTAATAATTTGCTGGGTTTTTGGAAGAATCTCTTTACTATTTCAGTGCGCCTTAGGATTTTGATTTCACCTTTTTGAACTTCTGTTAAAGCACGTCCCGGATATTTAAATATTCATACTTGCTTCCATTTTGTTGCTCTCATCTTGGGATACTTTTCTTTGTGACAACCCTGCCAACGGTTTCTATGTAAATCGTTATATAAGCTCAAAAATATATAGTAGTTCCTGAAATGTTCGCTATTGATTAAAAAATGAATTTTTTTCTGATACATCCCATTGGCTTCACCCATTAGTGAAGTGTGTGCTCTCTCGTATTGCCTTTTTATCAAGGCCAAAGGCGAGTCCGTTGGCTGAGCCATGCTGTCCATTATCTGCATCTCACTTGTTGCTCTGATCTTTGATTTACATTATTACTGTTTCTTACGCTCAGCACACAATAGTTTCACTCTGTTTAGTTGGATCACATGGGGAAAAAAATCACACAGACGCATAAAAGACGTGGACAATGAACACCTTGCCTGGGCTTGAGAAAGGACCACGTGACCAGCCAACAAGCCGGAACTTGGAACGTAACAGGCCCACAACAATGGTGACATAATGAAGGCAGAGGGACGACCTGTCGATGATTATAACTACGCCAAGAAGAAGAAAAAGAAGAGCAAAAACATCAAGAAGAAAGAAACAGTTGTTGAATAAAAAAAGAAGCAGAAGAACAGAAATAAAAGAAGCAGGGGTAAAAAAAGAAAGCAACAACAAGGAAGAAGAACAGAAATAAAAGAAGAGGAACAACAACAAAAACAATAAGAAATAATAATAATAATAATAATAATAATAATAAGAAGAAGAAGAAGAAGAAGAAGAGAAATTGAAATAAAAAACAACAACGTCGACAAGAATGAAGAAGAGAGAGAAAAAGAACAGAAATAAAAGAACAACAACAAATGCGAAGAAGATAAAAAAAAAACCAAAAGAAAAACAACAGGAAAGAAGACGCTAAAAAAAGAACAGAAATAAAAGAAGAGAATTAAAAGAAGAAAAAAAGAAGTGGGAAAAGAAGAGAACTGAAAGAAATAAACGAAAGAGCATAATGAAGGGAATGAGAAAAGAAGAACTAATGAATAGAGTAAAATTGTGATTGGCAAGCGAATGAAGCGAGAGGTCAAAGTGACTTGAAATGATCTGATGGAGTCTTTGATAAAAAAAAAAAAAAAGAGCTGAACAGTAAAAAGAAATAGAAAAAAAGCGAAAGATAAAGAAAATTACTTTTTACATAGAAAACAGAGCTTTGTGGTATTGATCCATGATGCAGTGAAAATAGACATCGAAGCTCAGGCCCCGCATTCATCTTGAGCTGTGTTTTCCAGTGATGCAAAGATTGTAACATTAATCATTGTCCTTTGCTAATGCTACACTATTGTTTACTTTAATTTAGAGAGGGTCAAACAAGTACCTGCCCCAGCTTTGAACCAGTTCTGTAAACGAGGTTTGACAAAGTTTGTAAACGGATCAATTGATCTATAATGGTAAAATACACGTGTTTGTAGCTTATTACGATGTCGTTTCAAGAGTTCTCTAAAGTTTTAAAATAACGTTTAATTATAGATCTTTTTTTTTTACAATTTTATGAATAGATTACTTCGTTTTTCCCAAATGCCATGTTACAAAATATGTCTAAATTTTGTTTTTATCTTATAATATTGATACGCAAACGAGTTAGGGATGTGGAATAATGAAACCTGAGTTCGTATACAGAATGAAAAGTGATCAATTTAGGGAACTGATGAGAGCATAATAATTAATAATGAATTAATTAATAATAATTTTGTCTGCGAATAAGGTGATATCTTCATTAATTTATTACCTGTAAGAAAAACACTGTTGATGCTGAAGTTCCCTAGTTACATCTAAAAAGACTATTGGGAAAGGTATGAATCCTCCCCACCTCAGCTATGAGTAAATAACAGTACAAACCTGGTTCTATAGACTTGGATGGCAACTGGTCTACAACAGAATGAAATGGTAACCTACTACGTTAAAAAATGTATCAAAAGATAAATGATCACCTAAGTAATGAGTCCTATCCTTCCCCTCCAGCTATGGGTAAATAGCAAGACAGTATGCATTCTGTAGCCTTGGAGGGTAACATCTCTACCGCTGAAAAAAAAAAGGCAACGTACTCCTGGAAGAAATCTGCCTCGTCAGTCATGTATCGAAAGATACAGGATCACCTAAGATCATTGAGTAGTCGGCATTCGCTC